GGCACCATCTTGGCTCACTGCAGTCTCTGCCTCCCAGGTTCAACCGATTCTCTGCCTCGGCCTCCTGAGCATCTGGGATTATAGGCATGCACCACTACACCCAGCTAATTTTTGTATTTTAAGTAGAGATGGGTTTTTACCATGTTGGCTGGGCTGGTCTCGAACTCCTGACCTCAGGTGATCTGCCCACCTCAGTCTCCCAAAGTGCTGGGATTACAGGTGTGAGCCATCTTGCACAGCCCCCCAAAATTTTTTTAATTAGAAAAAGAATCCGGGCACAGTGGCTCATGACTATAATCCCAGCACTTTGGGAGGCCAAGGTGGGCAGAACACCTGAGGTTAGTAGTTCGAGACCAGCCTGGCCAACCTGGAAAAACCCCGTCTCTAGTAAAAAAAAAAAATACAAAATCAGCCAGGCATGTTGGTGGGTGCCTGTAGTCCCAGCTACGCAGGAGGCAGAGGCAGGAGAATAGCTTGGACCCAGGCGGCAGAGGTTGTGGTAAGCAAAGATCACACCATTGCACTCCAGTCTGGGCAACAAGAGTGAAACTCCGTCTCAAAAAAAAAAAAATTAGAAAAAGAGAAGGCAGACACCAAAGACCACATAGTGTGTGATTCTATTTACATGAAACATTGAGAACAGGCAAATCTACAGACAGAAAATAGGATAGTGGTGGTTGCCAGGGGCTGGGGGAGGAGTGACAGCTAATGGGTACAGGGGTTCTTTGTTTCCTTTCATTTTTTTGAGACAGGGTCTCACTCTGTCACCCAGGCTGGGGTAGGCACAATCTTGGCTCACTGAAACCTCTACCTCCCAAGTTCAAGTGATCCTCCTGCCTCAGTGTCCCCAGTAGCTGGGACTGCAGGTGCCCACCACCAGGCCTGGCTAATTTTTTTTTTTCTTTGAGATGGAGTTTCACTCTTGTTGCCCAGGCTGGACTGCAATGACACAATCTCAGCTCACCACAACCTCCACCTCCCGGGTTCAAGCGATTCTCCTGCCTCAGCCTCCCAAGTGGCTGGGATTACAAGCGTGTGCCACCATGCCTGGCTAATTTTTTATTTTTAGTAGAGATAGGATTTCTTCATGTTGGCCAGGCTGGTCTCGAACTCCCAACCTCAGGTGATCCCCCTGCCTCAGCCTCCCAAAGTGCGGGGATTATAGGCGTGAGCCACCTAGCTCGGCCTAATTTTTTGATTTGTCATAGAGACGGGGTTTTGCCATGTTACCCATGCTGAGGGGTTTCCTTCTGATGAGATGAAAATATTCTGGAATCAGGTAGAGGAGATGGCTGCACAGCACTGTGAATGTACTAAAAATGAACTGTACACATTAAAATGGAAGAAATGGTGACTTTTATCTTATATAAATTTTATTTTGATTTTTTTTTTTTTTGGTCTGACATTACCCTAGGCTTGCCAGTCAATATCTTGATTTTTTAAAAAGGACAATGATGAGTTGAAACATTTAAGGACCTATCAGTAGAGATGATAAGAAGACAGCGCATGGCCGGGCGCAGTGGCTCACGCCTGTAATCCTAGCACTTTGGGAGGCCAAGGTGGATGGATCACCTGTGGTCAGGAGTTCAAAACCAGCCTGGCCATCATGGTGAAACCTCATCTTTAAAAAAAAAAAAGAAGAAGAAGAAGACAGCACAGAAGAGGGCAGGGCTGAGACTCGGGGCAGACAGAGCATGCTCCCCTGGGCCTCCTGCTGTCTGCCGGGCACCTGGAGCCCTGAGGCCTCGCTCCTGCCTGATCACCTGCCTCCTGGCTCCTCACCATCTGGCTTCTGGGGCTTCTTCAGCTCCCACTGACCCCCAGAGTGAAGGCTGCTCATCCACACCCACCTGGTCTCGGTGACTCAGCAGCATTTCCCCTGCACACCCTCTCCAGCTGCACGTAGACGGAGCAGTTGACCCGGCTCCACTCGGGGTCACAGACGGCCAGGAAGTTGGGGCGCAGGCGGCCGATCGTGTACTTGGCCAGGTCCGTCAGAGACTGGCTCACGGCCACCCTGAACAGGAAGGTCCCCAGCACCTTGTACACGGCAGCCACATAGTTGTTGAAGTCGGAGAGGGGCTAGAGCCGGTCTGTGTGCACCAGGTAGGCTTCTCCCGCCGAGACCTGCGCGTGGGGCAGCCGCAGCGACCAGGGGGGATCCCTGTCAGCCCGTGGGCCCTCACTGGGCCTCAGTCCTCCCCACAGGCCTCCCCAAGGCTGCTGCAGAGCTGAGGACTCTAAAAGGGCCCTAGCCGGGTTCGGTGGCTCATGCCTGCCATCCCAGCACTTTGGGAGGCTGAGGCGGGCAGATCACCTGAGGTCGGGCATTCAAGACCAGCTGGACCAACGTGGTGAAACCCGTCTCTACTAAAAATACAAAACTAGGCAGGTGTGATGGCGCACGCCTGGAGTCACAGCTACTGGGGAGGCTGAGGCAAGAGAATCACTTGAACCCAGGAGGCGGAGGTTACAGTGAGCGGAGACCCTGCCATTGCACTCCAGCCTGGGCAACAAGAGCGAAACTCCATCTCAAAAAATAAAAGGAGGCTCCTATTACCCACAAGTACCACTCGGGGCAAGGCTGTGTCCCCCAGCCCCCCACAGACCTCCAGGCCACCCCCCATCAGGAACCCAGGGTAAGGCTGTACCTCATCCCGCCCCCCTCCCTGTCCCTCTGAACCCCTCCTGCCTTACAAGGATGACAGTGGCCGTGATGGTGGCCCCGGCCATCAGCCCATGGGTGATGGTGTCTGGACGGTAGGGCTACCGGATGGAGTCATCCCCACAGTAAAATCCTCGCTTATACGGGGCGTTCACCAGCGACAGGACAGCGAAGGGCAAGGAGGCTGGAGGGGGAGAAGGGCCTTGGAGCTGCGACGTTCTCCAACCAGCTGGGCGGTGAGGCCCCTACACCTTCCTTGCCTCGAGGCCTCCCACCGACAGCAAGGAAGAGCTTTTCTCACATCACGTGGGAGGCCCAAGCGACACCCTTTTCCCATCGCCCTCAGATGAGCACGAACTCCCCAGGCCCTCTCCCTCTCACACCCTCCCCTCTGCTCCTTGAACAAACCTGGCAAACACTCACCTCAGGGCCTTTGCACAGGCACTTCTCTGTGCCCAAAATATCTTATTTTTATTTTTAAAAGTAGAGACAGGGGTCTCATGCTGACCAGGCCAGTCATAAACTCCCGGGCTGGAGCGACTCCCCAGCCTCAGTCTCCCAAAGTGCCGAGATTACAGGTGTGAGACAACGTGTCGGGCAGCAAAGTGACTCTCACTTCCGCTCAGTTTCATCTCCCCTCCCGGCTGTCCACACTGGCGTCCCTCTCACAAAAGGAAAGGTCTGTGTAGCCGGGCATGGCAGCGCGTGCCTGTAATCCAGCTACTCAGGAGGCTGAGGCAGGAGAGTTGCTTGAAACAGGAAAATGGAAGTTGCAATGAGCCGAGATCGCGCCACTGCGCTCCAGCCTGGCGACAGAGCGAGACTCTGTTTCAATTTATAAAAAGAAAATAAATAAATAAATAAAAATAAAAGGGAAGGTCTGCTCTTTTTCCCTCTTGCCCCATGTGGAATTATGCAGTCACCTGTGGGACACTGGACTTAATCTCCCCCCCTCCACCCGCCAGCACGAGGAGGGGCCTATCGTGTTCAGGACAGAGACCCTGGAGGCTGCTCAGAGCCTGGCCAGGGCAGATGTTTAACAAGCACCTGTTAAAACAGGCAGGACTTATTTCAACCTTAGAGCTGGCCAGAGAAGTCAGGAAAGGGCGAAAGCAGGGGCACAGCAGAGGTGCCTTCATGCTCGCCCCTGCCCGTCACTGACTCTAATGCCAGGGCACATGCCAGCCACACGGTGACTCAGGAATCAAAGGCACATTCTCCCGAATTCCACACTTATGGAAGGTGTCACATGGCACTGGGGCTCCCGGGGCCCTGCTGAGCTGAGGGTGGCCAGGGAAGCTGGAGTCACTTACCGAGGGCAGGGGCGGGGGCGGCTCCCTGTTCCATGCGGCAGGTGCACAGCAAAAGCGCAGGGTCTCTACCCCAGAGAGAAACGAAGGCAGGGCGTCCTTTGGCCCAGCAGGGCAAGGACAAAAAAGCGTGGCTCTTCTGAATTCTGAGAGTCTGAGGAGGGACAGGGAGCCTCACACTCCTCCCTGCATGCCAGCTGCAAGGGTCCTAGGACACGGCACACCTTCGATGCTGGCTGAGTCTGGGGAAATAATGCAGTGAAGACAGCAGAGGTCTGCCTCACAGGGCAGAGGGAATGCAGAACAGAACGGGCAGCGCGGGAGCCTGGAGCCGGGACGGTGCCTGGAGAGGCTAGTGCTGGGACGGGGCGGGGCGGAGAGGGGGGGAGCTGCGCTGTAAGAGCTCGGCTTCTGCTGGGGCACACGGGCGGTTGGCACCGCTGTAAGTGAGGGCAGAGACCAGGCAGGAGGCTCCTGCAATTGCCTCGGTGGAAGGTGGGGGTCGCTGGCGGCTGACAGTGGACTCCAGCACCTCCCCGCAGCTCTCAGCAGGCGGAGACTCACACGGGTTGGCCTCCGTTTCCGACCTCCCTGCCCCAGTAACTCCAGCTAGAGACTTCAACAGCCCCATGACAACCGGCCCCGGGCTTCTCTCTGCCTAGAAAGCTCGCCCTGGGGTCCCTGGAACAGGCACCTTCTCTTACTTTGACCCCCGGGAGCCTTGCCGTCCTCACGCTGCCCCCACAGCCCCGTCTGGAACCTGTGGACTGCACTGCGACGGGCCTGAGCCTCCAGAGGGAGTTGCCCTCGGCGGGGCCGCCACTCCTGGCACGCAGCAGCCACACCCAGCCCCACCCCAGAAGCACCTCCCTCCAGCAGGCGACTCCGTGAGGCTGCCCCTCCCTCACAGGCCGTTGTAAGGAACTGTTTCAGTTATCTGCATGCTGCTGAGCGCCTGGCAGCCAGAAAGTGCCACACACATGTTTAAGTAATTGACAGCAGAGCTGCTCAGGACATGGCACCCAGGTCTGGCAGACACCCCACGGGGACCTCGTGCTGTCCCCTGGCCCCCCCTAATGAGGGTCTACTTCGGAGGTCAGAGGGCTTGGCCAGAGAACCAGGAAACTGCGCTGGGGAGGAGCGCACCCTCGCCCCCCGCGGTGACAGAACTGCGGGGGGGGGGGGGGGGGGGGGGGGGGGCATTGCCCCTTCAGCCACAGAGGCAAACAGCCTTTGTTCCCAGGACCCTGGGGGGCCTCGGGCACCGCTTCCCCCATCCAGGCCCAAAAACCCGCAGGACAGGTTTGGGTATCCCGAGGCCCGGAAACCTGGGACCCAGCTTTTCTCTCCAAGTGTCCCCCCCGCCTGAGGCGCAGGGGTTCGAATCCCACCGACGCGCTGGGCCTATGCCTATCTAATTATTATTATTTTTGAGACGGAGTTTCCTTCTCTTTGTCCATGCTGGAGTGCAATCTCGGCTCACTGCAACCTCTGCTTCCCAGGTTGAAGCAATTCTCCTGCCTCAGCCTCCCAAGTAGCTGGGATTACAGGCACATGCCACCATGCTTGGCTAATTTTGTATTTTTAGTAGAGGCGGGGATTTACCTTTCACAAATGTGAAACAGAAGCTCCAGCTTTTTTTTCTGAGACAGTGTCTCACTTTGAAGCCCAAGCTTGAGTGCAGTGGCATGACCTTGGCTCACTGCAGTCTTGACCTCCGGGACTCAAGTGATCCTCCCACTTTAGCCTCCCGAGTAGCTGGGACTACAGGGGGACACTGCCACACCTGGGAAATTTTTTGAAATTTTTTGTAGAGATTCGCTCTTGCTATGTTGCCCAGGCCGCTCTCAAACTCCTGGGCTCAAGCAATCCTCCCACATCGACCTCCCAAAGTGCTGGGATTACAGGCATTGTCGCTCCAGCTTTTTTTTTTTTTTTTTTTCCGCAAGGCCACATTATGTTGTTAGTGGCCAAGTCAAAAGAGTCCCAGGGTCTGCTGACTCCTACTTCAGTGTTTTTCCAGCTAGACTACATCCACTGTCATTCCTGGAAGTTGTCTGACAGTGGACTGAGATGGATTATTTGGGTGTGTAGCACGAACAGAGGAACATCTCTTAGGAGACCGAACCCTGATGTTCTGATGGGGCCAGCATGTATTCTGGGGAAAGTTTCCATAGCTCCCATCCATGACCAGTGAATAGGAATTAGGTACCAGGCATGGTGGCTCACGCCTGGAATCCCAGCACTTTGGGAGGCTGAGGTGGGTGGATCACTAGGTCAGTTCAAGACCAGCCTGGCCAATATGGAGAAACCCCATCTCTACCTAAAAAACAAAAATAAGCTGGGTGTGGTAGTGGGTGCCTGTAATTCCAGCTACTCAGGAGGCTGGGCAGCAGAATCGCTTGAACCCAGGAGGCAGAGATTGCAGCGAGCTGAGATTGCACCACTGCACTCCAGCCTGTGTGACAAAACAACACTCAGTCTAAAAAAAAAATGCTGGACATTGGCCAGGTGCGGTGCGATGGCACACATCTGTAATCCCAGCACCTGGGGAGGCTGTGGCAGGCAGATCACTTGAGGTCAGGAGTTCCAGACCAGCCTGACCAACATGGTGAAAGCCCATCTCTACTAAAAATATGAAAATTAGCTGGGTGTGGTGGCGGGTGCCTATAATTCCACCTACACAGAGTGCTGAGGCAGGAGAATTGCATTAATCTGGGAGGCGGAGTTTGCAATGAGCTGAGATCACGCCACTGTACTCCAGCCTGGGCCACAGAGCGAGACTTCATCTCAAAAAAGAAAACAAGTTGGGTGTGGTGGTGTGTGGTCTCAGCTACTCAGGAGGCTGAGGTGTGTAGATCACTTGAGCCCAGGAATTTGAGGCTTCAGGGAGCTATGGTGGAGTCACTGTACTCCAGCCTGGGTGACAAAATGAGACCCCTATTTCTAAAAAACTAATTTAAAAAATTAACAAAATAAGAGAGAAAATAGGATAGTATTAATCACCAATAAGAGATCAATCACATCACCCACTGAATCTTGCCAACATGATCAAACTCTAATCTAATGGGGTGAGCATAAATCTGGCTGCAAATATGCCACAAATACAAAAGACAGAGAATGGGTTCACCCGCACCAGGGAAATCCAGACTTTGAGAAATGCTACAGGCCCAACAGTGTGGACTCTTCCAAAATCCATAGAACGGAAAAGGGATAGGCCAGGCAAGGTGGCTCAAGCCTGTAATCCCGGCACATTGGGAGGTCAAGGTGGGCAGATCACAAGGTCAGGAGTTTGAGACCAGCCTGACCAACATGGAGAAACCCCATCTCTACCAAAAATATAAAAATTAGCCAGGTGTGGTAGCACATGCCTGTAATTCCAGCTATTCAGGAGGCTAAAGCAAGAGAATCACTTGAACCTGGGAGTTGGAGGTTGCAGTGGCCTGACATTGCACTCTGGCCTGGGTGACAGTGCAAGACTCTCTCTCCAAAAAAAAAAGAAAAGGAAAAGGGATACAGGAGAAACTTGTCGATTGTGTCTTTTTTAAATTTTAGTTTTTTGTCGGGCACGGTTGTTCACACCTGTGATCCCAATCTTTGTACTTTGAGAGACTCAGGTGGGCAGATCACCTGAGGTCAGGAGTTTGAGGACAGCCAGGCCAACATGGTGAAACCCCGGCTCTATAAAAGTACAAAAATTAGCTGGGCATGGTCCCATGTGCCTGTAATCTCAGCTACTTGCAAGAATGAGACAGAAG